CACCTGTGCGTGGCTGGATTGGGAGCAGACCTATAGTCTGGGCGGCTGCTTGTTACGCTGCAGTCAGCATTCCCTACTTTTACTCAGCTCGCCCACAGAGGGCCTTGCCTTTTAAAGGAGGGGCTCATATTCTCAGCTATGTTTATCAATTCCAAGGTGGTCTTTTAAAAGAGCCCATAGCCCTGCTGAGGGAGAGAGAGAGAGAGAGAGAGAGAGAGAGAGAGGAGGAGACAGCTGAGATAGAAATAGTATGAGGAGGAGGAAGGGGGGTGACGGAGTTCGGCAGGAGTCAGTCTATTCTGCCAATAATACCGCAACCTTTGGCGATGTCTTGTACTTGTTATAGGTTTCCCTTGTCAGAGTGTGGAGTAGGTACCTCCACCTGCTGGCAGGCTTTTAACAGCCACAGCCGCACTTGGTGAAATGCAAACCACAGATTCCAGTCGTGACAAAAGCGCGTTTTTACACGTACTTAAATTTCAAATTCATTTGGACGCAGGAGATGTTATCAGTGCATGCAATCACTACATCTCCCTACTTTAATACATTCTAAAACGAAGAGCGTTTATTTTTAGTTTCACATTTCACTTGATTTTCATCCATTAAACTCCACAGATCACTATGTTTTAAAAGATTTTATAAGGAATATAAAATAAATTAAACTAAATATTTTTTCCAGAAATACAAATCTTAAAGCTAAATACGGTTAGTGGGGCGCTTTTGCCATTACATTTCAAATTATGGGAAAAAAAAAGTAAAACGCTTCACGGCTACATACGTCCACTGTTGGGTTTCCATTGTTATATTTGGAACTAGTAAGTTAATAGATTAAATCAATAAAATCAGTTCTATACTTACAATACAGGAAACAAAAAATAAATTAACTAAAACTGTGCATTGGAGTGTATTAAGCTCTCGTATCTGCAGGAAACATAAGTGCCTTTGTTGTGATGACTTACGGTCACAGTAGTTTGGACTCCAATAAGAAAAAATACTGTACAAGATGGAGGCTTCACAAGACAGTTTAGTCGTTATAAACCTGAACAGCTCCCTCGATGACAATGAAAGTCTTCAATCCTCCTCTTCTCCTTCCATTCGACAGACTACAGGGAGGCCTTTGGTCTGTTCGACAGAGTCGGCGACAACAAGGTGGCTTACAACCAGATCGCTGACATCATGCGCGCTCTGGGACAGAATCCCACCAACAAGGAGGTTAGCAAGCTGCTGGGAAACCCCTCTGCCGACGGTAAGAGACACGTTCTGAGTTTGTGGAAAGTTTGTGTGGGGATGTTGGGGCTTTTAATTTCATGCAAAACACTCTGAAAAGTCATCCAGTGGTGCAGGCTGGGGCTAAAATGCCACTGAAGACACACAATGCAAGATATTATTTGTATTCATATTAGTGTTTTTTTTTTTGTATAAATACTGGTATAACCTGCAGTCAGTACTAATAGATCTCAAGCAAACATTGCTATAACTGACCTTTAGCCACAGTAACTGTGCTAATCAGTAAAGCACGGCTTCGGTTTTAGTAATTACTAGTATTCATGACTGTGTTTTTTGGTGCATTTTTACATAAGAGGAACTTTGAGGTCCACAAACTGCTGGGGCGGTTAGACATGCAGCAGGTCTGGAACTTTTAACCTACAGAGGTCACTGCAGCACTGCTTTTTGTCCGTGCAGGTTTAGTCTTAGTTGTACTTTTGATGTCTCTGTTTGGTCCGTGGCAGCAGGTCACAAACCTGACTGTGCTTCATCACAAACCTGCAGAACCTCCATTGAAGTACAGCCTGCTGTAGATTAAAAAGTTGAAAATTGCAGAAAACGTGTTGGATGTTACCCACGTTGGTGCCTTCTCTCTGGATGTAACCGACCGCCTCCTTTCCTGCAGACATGACCAACAAGAGAGTAGAGTTCGAGGGATTCCTGCCGATGCTCCAGAGCATCATCAACAGCCCAAACAAGGCAGGATTTGAGGACTACGTTGAGGGTCTGCGTGTCTTCGACAAGGAGGGCAACGGCACAGTGATGGGTGCTGAGCTGCGTATCGTCCTGTCAACACTGGGTGAGTGACGCCCGAGCGCTGTTCGTGTGTGTGTGCACGTGGCGCTTTGCGTGTTGTTATAATGACATGCTGCGCTGCCTCCCCCTACAGGAGAGAAGATGACTGAGGGTGAGATCGATGCTCTCATGGCCGGACAGGAGGATGAGAACGGCTGTGTCAACTATGAGGGTAAGCCACAAAATCCAACGTGGAAAAAATAACAGTTAGTTATCCTGTTAGGCGACATTTAACGGTGATGTAGAAGATATATCAGCCATTTCAAATCTGCATCATTCTGCTCTTTATTTATTCCCCTCACTCACTCGGTTTTCCTTTTTTCTTTCTCTCTGCCGCCCTCGTCTTCATCTGCAGCCTTTGTCAAGCACATCATGTCTGTGTAAGGACCCTGCCACTGCGGTGGTGAGCATCGTATATGTGCAGACCCCATGGTGTCGCGACATCCACTCGCTGTTTCCTGCACCATCTGTGGAAGCAGGGGGGAACAAAGGACTATGAGATGTCATTTCCTGAACCCTTCTTTGGTTTTGTTCTACACTTTTTTTTTTTCTTCTCTTTTGTCCAACTGGTGCTTATTTTCCTTCTCTTCTCCTCCTGCTATTCGGGAAGCTTTCCCTGATTTCCCCCCCATGAGGTGTTTCTCTCCTCATCTTCATCCAATTCCCTCCAGTCGCATTGGGGTTTTTTTTTTTTTTTTTGTGGTCATCACAGAGGAACAGTGATGGTGGTGGAATAATGATGACCATCTCCTCCCACTTTCTGTCTGGCTGGCTCTCTATCTGCCAGTAAAGTGACTGGTTTGGCCCAGGACTGGCCATCAAAACGAATCCACTCCTCACCCAACCCATCCCTAAGTCTTAACTTATTGTATCCTCTGCTATTTCACAATAAACTTTTCACACTCCCATTTTTATTTCCCAATTTTTGACTCTATTTACAGATATTTGGGTAATTCATTTAGCCATATGTACACTGAAGGCATAGTTGGACATTTTGGAAAATACACAAGGAATACAGGTGGGAAATGATATTTAGACCTACTAAACAAACGGGATAGTATTTGTTAGTGAGCTTCAAGGGTGCTGCTAGGAAGATTCTGCCATCTTTGGACAGAATCAAGCGTCTATAAGCTATCACGGCACTGGATCGGGCTTTACAATAATGAAAGCAAATATGTGTATCTCCAAATGAATCCGTTTTGGTCATCTAAAAAGAAAAACAGCACTCCGGTACCACTTTTTGTCCTTTTTATTGTCATTAATTATTGTAACTGGTGTCATATCAACAAGAGAAAAACTGCGTACATCTACTTGACCTTTTAAATACATTTACAGTTGCTGTAGGGTGGAGCAGGAGGTGGGGAAGGGGCACACGGAGATGGGGAATGCAGAAAAAACACAGAAGCAAACAAACAGTTGCAGGTGAGGGAAGTAATTAGGCAGGAGGCGGGGCATACCACAAATGGTGTCTGAAAAAGAAACTAGATCACCCAAACACTTTTTTTTTTGTTTTTGTTTTTTTTTGTTAACCTAACAGATATAACAGGAGTCGACGGAGTTCCCTCGGTCATTTTTCTTTAGTTTTCTTCATTAAGTGTCCTTAATTGTTCAAAATATTTTTTTTTCCAATTTCTTCTCCCACATATTGCAACAAAACATCCAGATACAGTAGCATCCGCCGTACAGCGGCATGGGATCTGCACCAATGCACACACACAGACAGGTTTCAGAGTAGCTGCATCTTCTGCTAAATATCAGGTCGCAAATTGTAGCATCTTCTTCTTCTTCTTCTTCTGCGCTTCGGACACCAGACTGTCCCGATGAGTTCACCCTCAGCTCGTATTAGTGGAGAAATGTCTGCACGGTTTAGCTGCGGCTAAAGGACGAGGTTCTTTTAGTGGCGTCCTTTTAGGATGGATTTTATTTTATTTTTTATTTTTGCAGAATGAGCTCCAGTGTCTAATACTGTTCCGATGTATAAACAAGCCTCTATTTTTGAACTGCTGAGCAGGTACGTGTGGATGATGCTCTTCGACAGGACTGAGATGCATTCCTTAGCAACACCAAATCAGCTGTCTGACATTGTCACCAAGCATTACACTGTAAACAACTAGTAACTACAAAACATGAACTTGTTTAATCTTTATCCAATAAATGAGGAAATAACTTACTAAAATCCTTTTTTTTAAATTACAAAATAGCCTCTTTTAATATTTGAATCCATACATGCTTGTCATAACATGACCTAGTTCTTGCATAAATGCAATTTTACAGTTATATTTTATAGCCATATTGTCACTTCATTTTAAAATGTTTTGAGGACATGTAGATGGCAAAGAACTGGTATTTTATACATGTTTCTATATATATTTGTTAAATATATTATATATTGGATGACAAGAATGACTTGCAGTAAGGATGCTTGTTTTGTTAGGGGGGGTCTGGCGTCCATGCACGTTTACTGAGCAAGAACAATACGTGCGGCATGGTGTACTGGTCACATTACTTCTTATTTAAAATAGAAAAAAGGCTGTAGCTTTTTCAAAACACTGATCCAAGATCAGTCAAATCAATATTTGGTCCCCCCACCATTAAGTGTGTATCCCACTTAATCCAGGACCAGTGCTCAGATTGAACTATTCTATGCAACATCATTCAAAAAGAGGGAGATCAACCAAATGAATCAGAAATAGCACGTTTGGGTTTAAAATAGACAGGAAACAGGATAAAGAGGACCAAAGTACAGTAGCTCCTAACTTGAGTCTCTACTTAGAGTTGAGTGATGGATGTTGAAGTAAAGATGTCTGGAGGCTGTGGTTTAGCTGAGCAGCAGTGGCAACCAGTCGGCCTCAGGGTGGCAGGAGAGGGCAGAAAAGTTTGAGAGGATCAGGATGAGGACCTCTGGGGGGCGCAGAGCCGCGAATCCAGAGACCCAGTGTTCACAAACCCTGCTTGGCCAGAGCCGCGGTGACGTCCTCCGCCAGGGTCGCTAACTGCGGCGACTCCATCATGTTGAGGCTGCCGGAGGACGATAGGTGGCTGTCCCGGTGGCGGTGGGGAGACACCGAGCCGGACAGGCCCGGCGACTGGACGATGATCTCGGCTCCGTGGTCCACTCGGGCCTTGGCGTGGTCGCGAAACGTCAACCTGTGGCTCTCGATCTGTTAGAGGCAGGTGGTGTGACGTGAGAAGTGGATGGAGAAGAAGACAACATGTTTATATCATGCATGCGAACACATTTACTCATGTATTTGTTAGTCAGCAGTAGAACTGTAATTATTATGTACTGTCCTGGGTTGACTAGATTCGGAGGCCTCCGCTGGTGGACTGAACACTGAAAACAGCTCAGGTTGTGTGGATTACCTTCTACATCGTGCATCGACTGAGGCGTATACCATACCTTAACTGCTACCGACATGAGTTAAAGGAATACAACAAGTTTTTGGAAGATTGGCTCAATGGAAGAATGGTTTTTACATTTATCATTATATGTCCTTCATTTCCTAAAACATATCATACTACACACATATCTTTTACGATTACAGTAATATACAGATGGGTGACAAATTAAAGGACAAACAGAAACCCTAATGCGCTATAATAAAGGGATCCCGTGGCTCTATAGTCCTGTGTGCGGCATTTTGCTGGCACATTTTGGGTTCACTTGTCTGTTTAGACAGAAAGGGTCACTGCAAATCAATACAAAGTGTTTCTATCCTATTATAAAACATATCTGTCCTGTGAGGACTCGTCTCTTCCAGGATGACATCGCCTCCATCAGTAGGGAACAAGGGGTCACTGAATAGTTTAGAGCATAAATACTGTGTAGAACATACACCATGACCTTCGCGGTCACACCTGCTCTCCATCACCATCATCAAAACACTAATAAGGGAAGAGCTTCATCCCTCCAGCAGAGTTTTAAGGACTTGGAGAATCAATGCTAAGGAGCACTGAAGCTGCTCTGGTGGCATGTGGTGGCCCAACACCTAACCAAGTCACTGTATGTTGGCTTTTTCTTTATTTTGTCACCTGTCTGTATATATTAGCATTATTAGTAGTAGTAGTATTATTATAGGCCACTGGATGAATTCCTCTATCTACATTCTCCTGACTTTACAGGTAAACTGACAACTTGAGGAAAAAGGCTGTAGGCCATGACTTGATTAAGTAATTACTCTCAAGACAGACTAAAAAGAGTGAACACAAGAGCTTCAGTAGAAAGCAACTGGACTCTTTAGGTTGCACAAAAGATTCTTCTCAATAAGAACCTAAAAGAGAAGTTGTTTTCTACTGAAAATCCTCAGATCACCCTGGCCTGGATGGCTGGTTAGTAAGGAGAGCTACATGTTAGAGTTTATATCTAAATAGATGAGTGGGTTAATCTGTCAAAAACTTGCTGTTTTCCTTTAAATCATGGACTGGGAGCACGGAGCTGACACTCACCGTGATGTGGCCTCCACCAGGAATGTGGTGAGCATTATCCAGGGAACCCACCTTGGCTTGGGCTTTGTCTTTGAAGTCCAACTTCACGCTTTCTATACGCACGTTACCGCCCCCTGGGAAGAAGTAGAGGGAGTGTAAAACGTTGACCATCAGAACTGAGGCCTACATAACGCGCATATTCGACTTCCCCTGTTTGCCAAGTGCTGCAATTCTGATTCATGACTCCTGAATACGGCGCTGATAGCAGTGACGCTAAATACAACACGAACGCTGATTCACTGAAGGCTGAAAAATGTGCTTGTTCTGAGTAACAGGAATAAATAGGACAACAGTTGAAGAAGCCCTCTATGAATTTAGGTTGGAAACACTAAACACATCACGATGACACCAGCAGGTGGAGCTGCAGGACATGAAGCAGTCTGAACCCATATGGAAGGGCAGGAGGGCATTTCCACATCTCACAGCAAAGCATCAAGCAGTCTGGATGCCTGTCTTTAATGCACTCTAGTGATAGAGTTCCTAAATCTTTTTTTTTAAATCAATAGTATACAACAATGATTTAAAGACTATTTTAGTGTAATTTACCATTTAACACTAGTGGCATGGAATCATTCAGACATAGATTTGACATCCTACCTAATATATGGGAGGCATTTGGATTGTATTCTGCTGTGTCCATGTGTGATATAATATGAAATCATCCCCATAAACAATGGCCCTGGTATTCAGTGTAATCCTCATATCTTGCTGTCAGCAGTTCCTTTTGATTTGATCCCATCCACAGCAAACATCCTCCTTCTGACTGGCATCAGCATCAGAGGTCAGGAGTGTGAAGGTAATTCTGAACTTTGCCTTTCAGTGATTTAAAAGAAAAACAGAAACAGAATGCAGAACTCTCTCCAGGTTTGATCCAACCCTGCTCATCAGTGTCCCATTCCACATTCTCACACTTAAGGTAGAAAGACACAAAATGCAGCGACGCTGCCAGGAACTAAAACACCTCCTACATTCGGCCGCCTGTGGACGGATCCATCGAGCTGTCAGTCCAAACGCAACTGACTGCTTGCTTCCACTGTTGCTGCTTTTTCAGCTCGTCATGACACAGATCAGAGCAGGAGCTGCATCTGATTGACATGTTGGGTTTTTTTTAGGAGTTAAATAACTGCTAAACACATTTATTATTTACATTGGGTTCGATTGCACATTCAGTGTCTGGCATATACAAGTAAATAAGTATTAGAACAACTAACCTACGGGACTTTGTGGCTCTAGTTACACCTGGTACCAACATGGGATGTTTATCATCCTGTGAATGACATCTGATCCACTGGCATTTGCAATTTCTGAATTTATAAAATTGCTTTTCATGAGGTAACACTTACTAACAACTGCTTCTGTTTCCAGAATTAGTTGGGCAGCTTTAGCTAACGGGCGAACATGGATTTTCCCTAATTGACATATTATATCCAGATACAGATTTCATTGCCCTCTACACTTCTTCCCATCCTTGCCTAGGATTTCCTCCTTCTTGCAATAAAGAACGGAAGTCGTCGGTTAAACCCAGAATGCAGCTGTTTTTCTAGCCACATACACACACATTCACACCTTAAGGCTGTCCAGCAGAACCAGAGACTGAACTCAGCAGCTCATGAAATATAAATACCTCGGTCAAGTGCATCTAAGCAGTGCTAAGGGGTTCGGGACATCCCCCGGATAAACACACATTGCGGGGTGTGATTTCAAATGACTGCACCATTCTAGTCTCTAGTCCGACGCTGCCACCACAAGAGCTGCCCTCCTAGCTGGGAGCTCTATACCTGGCCGATGATGGATGTTGTCTAGAGAACCGCACTTGGAGGTCACATGGCTCAAGTCGATCTTCTTGTTCTGTATTTGTACCTGGAAGAAGCAAAAAGTGAGAGAAAGACGAGGTCAGAGCTCACGGTTCTCGTGAGGTTTTTTTATGCACCAGCTGACCTCAGATTATTTCCACATCAAGCAAATTGTTTCCTCCCTTCTCTGAATTATAGAGGGGGATATCTGATCTCAGCTGTACCTGCGACTGTAGCTGCCGTCTGAAGAAAATGATTCGGTATCAGCTGTGAGAGTGAAAGGTTGTAATTTCCTACATCCCAACACTGTGATATCTAATTGCATGTAATTACTAGAACATGAGCAAGAAAGTGCCGAATACCGGACCGTTAAATAGCAGCGCTTGTGTTCTGCTGTCCACAGAGCTGCTGCTGGTATGTGTGCTATACAAACCAAAGCTCAACACAAGCTAAATGTGTTTTGGCACTTTCAGAAAACTTGTCAGACACGTCGTAACGCTGACACATGTATGACAGCAAAATAGGAACGTCACAGGCTGAGAGGATGTGCAGTTAAGTGACACACACAGAAGGTCTGGAGAGAAACCCACAGAGAGATATGTAAGGAGTGAACCGATGAGACAGCAAACAGAGTGGAGCTATAAAGCTTTAGACACAGCACAATGAACAAGAAGAGATACACCACATCCTGGGATGAATCACTGAGACACGCCTGTGGTCAGCAATCACTTTGCCAAGTCACCGATTTAGTTGATATGCTGTTTGTAACCAATGATTTGGCGTTATTTTCTCCTCTCTCACAGGGCCCGAGAGGTAAAAACGGCAGCAAAAAGTGAGACGGCGATGAAGATCGTGAGTCACATAACACACAACACCAAAGAGCACGAAGTACAGAATGCACCGTGGCCTGTGCATCTACCGGGACGGCCGTATGGCTTTGTTAGGTTGTGGGCTGATCAGGAGCACGCAGGCCCATGCACAACGCTAGCAAAGCTATACAGCATGAGTTAAAAGACAAGAGATGAGACGTGCTTTGTGTCAGCGTGGGAGAACATCTGGCTGCAGTCTGGAACATCCCTCCAGCAATCGTGTCTCTCAGAAGTGTTGATGTGTTTTATGTTTGTATGGATATGTTTGGTGGTGATTTAATTTTATGACATCATTAGATTGTTAATGTGTGTTATTGCTGCTGCAGGTCGAGCTGGTTTGAGCTGCTACAGATAAATCTGAGGGCTCATCTAGTCTTTGATTTTTGGTGAGATATTTTATCTTTTGAACATTTACTGAAATTATGTCACATGAGAAGTTTTAAAAAATCACTCGACTGCACACACACACACAAAGCTTGCTGTATTATCCATTGTGCCCAATCTTCAATGTAACTAAAGTTGAATGTAGTGGAGTAGAAAGTACATGATTTCCCAGTGAAATGTAGTAGAGCGAACGTATAAAGTAGGCTAGATTCTCAAGTAATGTACAAATCTGTTAAAGAACTGTAATGGAGTAAATGTACTTGTGCTAATGCTTATCTATTACTGTTAAAGCGCAGTGGTCAAGGTCAAGTGTGTAGGATTTCTGAGCAGAAATATAGTATTCATAATTTTGTTTTCATTGGTGTATCATGTCTTGTAACTATGACTCATGTTCTTGTTATTTTAAAATGAGCCCTTCATGTTTTTTTTTTTACAGTAGCCCTGAAAGGACAAACTAAACACTGCTTCTAGAGGCGGCGTTTGGAGTGTTAATGCCAGTGTGGGTCCTGGAGAATTGAGGTTACAATCTGCAGCCTCACCACTAGATGCCACTAAATCCTCCACACTGGTCCTTTAAAAGGCTGGTAATTATTACGGACGATCAAACTGGCTCTTTCATGATTCCCTGTTTAATAATTGAACTGTATAATTTGGTGAATGAGTGGAGACTAAAGACCACTTCTCTTGAACATTTTGCACACTTGTACGTATATATACAGTGTAATTATGTCAAGCCTTCGCCTGTGGCATTCTACTGTACTCACCTTTGACATAAAACTGTCTGAATGCAAATACTACCATGCCATTCTACGCCAAAAATGGGTCTATTACTGAAGCCACCTACGTGGTTCGTTCAATAACTCATCCACCCACTCTGTGGCCTTGACCATCCCCCCAAACTACTTGCCTTTTCACCAGTGCCTTCGTCGTCGTCATGTGCTCGCTATATTAAGCTGCAAGAACTGTCAATTGTGCATCTGTGATTTAAAGTGAGCAGTCTGCCTATGTGCCGTTTGTCACTTGCTGTGGGTTGACATACAATATTTATGTTGGTGTTGAGATTCTCGTATGCACTCTGTGACTCTAACAGCCAGCAATTTTTAGTTTATGTGATAATGCATGCATACTGTACATGGCACCGTGGCTTAATAAGAAAAGGGATGGGTACCTCTATTGTTGTACGTATAAGATTAGTGTGGCCAATCAGCTAAGGTCTATTTTTCCATAATGTGGTGTCCACAAACTTCACCAGAGTTTGTGGGGATTATGTTAAAATAAATCCTAGTTGCACATTAACAAATTTAACCCACGCAGGTGCACCAATAGCCGGTATGTTTGCCTCTGGTACTGCTATAAATGTGACATTGTCGGCACCACTTTCATCAGAGTTATTTGAAAGAAGAAGATGCAAGCAGCTGTTGCCCAGGTAACCCGGTGTTGTCAAGTGCAAATAAAAAAGAGGTCTCATGAGACCAGACTTTTCTGAGGGAAGCGAAGTCAAGAGATAAGTTCTAACTGTCTCATTGTTATTAGGCTTGTGTAACAGTGCATTGATAATGTGCATCATTCAAATCAGAAGCTGCAGATGGAGCACACACTGTACCTGCTGCCTTCAGATGACTGTAATCAGACTTAATCAAGTGCTTCATGCGGCGTGCTGCCTGCTGTGGATGAGAGGTGTTGGCAAGAGGTTTGCTGGCACTAACAGTAATCAAATATATATAGAGATATAGATATAGATATTATTTTGCATTGAGATTGTCTACTTTGTGATCACTGTATATTAAAATGGAAGCAGAAGCAGTAAATGAATAAAATGTGTTTGATTTCTTCAGTCCTCTGAGAGTAAATATTAGAGTGCATGGCTCTGTTGGCTGTAGTGTGAACTGTGTAGGGCTGTGAGGCGGCAGGCAGGCGGCATACAGTGCAAAATGTGCTTAATCTTGATACCAAAATTACAGTGCACTGTTGGATCACCGGTGACACTTCCCCTCCCACTGCGGGGCACAGTGAGTCACCAAATTACCATCGAGGCAAAGAAACTACTTCTGTATGTAAGATGAAATTGCACCTGTGAAAAACTATATAGCCATCTCATACTGCTGTCAGGTGCTGGAGGAGGAGACACTCAGCCTTTAGCATCGAAATTCCTCGCAGGACACAAACCACTGCTGGAGAATGATGCGGTGATGAAGAGCGGTCAGGTTAAGAGAACCGGCACTGCTGGGTGAATGAGTGAATGACTTGGCAATAAACTAGGGAACTGGAAAGCGAGGTGACAAAGGAAGAGACGACACTGAAGAAAGACACACCACGACACAAGACATAAATAACACCGAGACAATGGGCTTGTGGCACAAGACTCACGTTTCCACCTCCTGCGGAGTAGCCCCGCCTGTCCAAGGACCCACACCTAGACTGAACATGGCTATAGTCCAGCTTAACACTGGGGATGAAAACCTGCAGGGGCGGAGGTGAGGAATGAGGTGGGAAAAAGGCTCGGGCTTTCTGGCAAGTCTCTTACACAGTTTGCATCCTCCTACTGTTTAAACTCTGTCCTACACATCTTAGTTTGTTGGCTGTAGTGTGGGCACTAATGACCTAACTGTTCCCCCGGTGGCTTTAATAAACATCATTCAGTGGCTGCAATCACTCTGAGCTAACAGGCAAGACGGATCCGTCGTACTACACGTCTCACAGCATGAGCTCTGACACTACGTTAGCCTGGTTTGTGCACCAAGATGCATGACATCTGATGACTCCTCAGCAGATTACTCATCTGAACGTAAAGCTACAAACATCCTATTACACTGGATTTCATGCAAAAACAGCTGTCTGACTGAAGCCAAAGCCGGTTAGTGTGCATTGTATTCCAATTAAGATTTGAAAGGAGCAAAACAACATCAAGTTTTCAAGATTGTGCTGCTATTATCTAGACTGGATTTTGAGCCTATTAAACGAATACAAAACATTCTGGAAATCTTGGCTTCACACAGTTCGACAAGACAAGGCACCTCCTGCAGAACGTCTCAGAACAAGGCGTCGAATATTCTCTAAGGGGTTTTTCCAATTCTGCCGTTAAGCCCTCAAAAATGCAAGTAAATGCAAATTAAACGCAGCCAGGACCTGTGAGCGTTAGTTTATGGTGCAAGGATGATAAAACAGGCGAGAGTGCTGTGATGGTGAATGACTCTGTAGCTGCAGGGAGAGAGAGCAGGAGTGAGATGCAGACACAGCAAAGTGTTGGTATCGTACATTAACAGTAAAAAAAAATAAAAATAATAAAGACATTTTACCTGGCAGCACATTAAAAGCAATGGGAGATAGAAAAAAAGACATAGTACATACATATCCTGCACATTTTGGGTTTTTTTTTTGGTATGAGGGGAGGAAAAGACAGGGGAGACCATCAGGTATGTGAGCTCTGAACTGCTTTTTGTTTTCTTCAAGTGATGCTTTGCAATATATCCAGTGTAAGAATAAGCAAACAATTTACTCTGTGTTGAACTGCAAAAAAAAAGAGCTAATAAAATTAATCGCACCAGCAAAGATCATATATCTCACAGTGTATGTACAGTGTGACAGTGAGGAAGTGTGTGCATTTAGCTCTCGATTTCTGCTTTTCTTCAAATAGCGCCAGGGATTAAAGACTTCAATAAACTAATAAATTAAAGGGCGTGTTACCATAAAAATTCTCCCCAGTGCTGCTAATGCAATGCTGGAAATCAAAAATAAAACATTTCTTTATTCTCTAAAGCAAAACGCATTTTCTTTGCAGTGTCTAGTTGATGTTTTATCACTGGCCCCTGCTTGATTTTTCTCTTTTTTGACTCCAACCTGATGGCGGTGCAGTAAACGAACCACAAGAGCAGATGAGTCACACGTTTAACTCCACAGAATTTGATCAACACACCTTCGGTACAGCATGTGACCCATGCAATCTCACATCGCCTTGAATTGCGGGACACACTTTATAATGGGAGAATGCATTTTATACCCGTAACTGGAAGGTAGGAAAAATATAAAATAAAAAATGAGGCAGGCAAGAGAGAGCAAACCAAATTGCACTTTGCCTTGAGAGTCACTTGCGCAGACTTTCATCTGGGAAACAACAAGTACGTGAAACAAACTCACGCCACTTGGAAATCAGAGACATTTCCAGGGACACATTTAACTCGGTGGTAGACGAACTACTAGTCTATCAAGACAACACAAAGGAAGCATCAGACACGATGCTAAACCTCATACATACGATTGTACAGGACTAAATGGGAAGCTATGATACTGACATGGGATTTTATAAGGACATTTTTTAGCCCCTCTGACAACAAGTCAAGCTGTCGGATGAAGCTGGTGAGACTTCAAATTACTTCCTAAAGGGCATTTTATCATGGCAGGCGTTTAGCAGCATATGGCTTTGGCCATCTAGCTGAATCTTACCATCAGGTCACCTTCGTGTCTGACAGCTGAGTAATTTAGGGTTTTTTTTGGTGCTGCTCTGACAGCAGGAAACTGGGTAAACTCCAAAGCTCCCAGACCAGTGGCTATGCTCAGGTCTGCCATTAACCCTCAGAATCCCAGAACCTGCCGGTGGATTTGAAAGGCAGCTTGTCTTTGGAAAAATTGCTAAATTTACACTATTTATCAGTTTGAGAACTTGTAAAAACAGAAAGAATTGTCACTGAACTAATCACAATATTAATCAATCAAAACCACCTTATTCTACGTGTCTCATTTTGAAAATAAATGCCAGAAATAAACGATTTGTTGAAACCAGATTCTGTAAAATACAAAAATGATGCGGTCCACTGTACAACAGGGACACCATGACTGACTGAACCGTGACCGACAGTCACATGACAACACTTCAGGAATGTTTTGGCTGAACTGCAGGCTGTGTTCAGATTACAGATAAGAGACAAGAATGGAAACAAATGACAAATGTAAATAGCAAAATAAGTCTTTTTATCTTCTTTTCAGTATTTCTAACAACTGTAGACACTTGGACAAGTGTTGTACAGGATGATTTCATTTTTTTAACCTTATTCAGGACTTTTGGGGGCTTTTGGAGCCCAGGCCATTTGGTTCAGGTGAGAGGTACTGCTTTTTATTTTTGAGGATTTTATTTATTTAAAAAAATAAAAATAAAACGAGGGACATTTGTCATGCGTTTGGAACCAAAAATACATCGACTTATCAGAACATTTATTTAATACAGTATAAAAGTCTATAAAGAATACCAACAAATATTTTGCACACAATCTTTTTTGGGGTCCAGTGGACCTTCTTTGTATGGCAACATGAAAAAGTCCTGAATCGGGTTAAAAAAACATATTTGTAATTTTGTAATCCAAAAAAATCATCTTTGTTTTTTCTCTTTATTTTATGATTTATCGCATTATAAACAGAAACTTAATGTATTATTTTATTTAGCTGACTGACTAAGTGACTCATATAATAACTACGGGGGAAAGGAAGACAAATAATTATAGTAAATTTAAAGGTGAGAATTAGGGTAAAATACAAACTACAGTACAACAACACTACACCGTTAACCTCGCCATATACACTAGATTTCAACAGCACAACATGAAACAGCTTGCAGCACATGCTATGGTAGGACTTTAAGAAGAACACACAGCGTGCTAACTATAATTAAATATGGCCTTCACCCATCCCCTTGGCGGAGGAGGGTGAAGGCAGAAGGGTACATACATTGGCCCCACGGGGAGGGTGCTTCAGACTGTCCTTGGAGCTGCTTTTTGACAGTGAGTGACTGAAGTCCAGCTTCTTGTTTAAAATATGAATCTATGGAGAAATACAGAGATATATGGACCTCTCGCAGGGTAGATGCTTATCACAACATAACATAACAAGTGTCTCCTCCACTGAGTAAAGGATAAACAGAGTACTGATAAATGAGCGGTAATGTGGAGAGTATGCTGTGTTTAATGTGTGCAGTATGAAGGTGTTGGAGAGTTAGTGAGCATGGATGATAATGTGCTCTGCTTATTTTCTGTAAACGTGACACAATTATCCACCCGCTACTGTTGTTGAGGTTCTGCACACTTTATCACACACGGCAATGCTCGGCAACAAATCACTGGCATTAAATCAAAAGAAAAGACTCTTTCTTTTTTTAATATTCCAGTAGGGTCCTACAGTTCTGTAGAGAGATGCAAGTTTGAAATTGTTTCATTTGAACAACAATAAATAAATGTAGTTATCACTAAAGGACGAGGGGCCTTCTCTTGTAAAGCGCTATGGGCAAATTATAGACATTTAGATTTTTTAACATCCCCTGTTGGACATTTAAGTACTTTAATTGGAAGAAAACTGTCCAACATTAATTATTATTTAATTTCAATAACGGTTAAATTGATAAATAAAACTGGAAAAACTGGATCCTGCAGCATGCCACTGAAATAAATGATATATCTGGATTTAAATTACAAGATATTATAACATTGGTCTACACCCATTTTGGTGTCAAAGTTTTTTGAGCTGATTTTGGACAATTGCAATGAGCTCAATCCAAATATTACATTGGTTTTGCTCAATTAGGTCAAAATTCAGATTTGATGAAATATGCAATTTACTTGTATTTACCTTTACAAATGTTTACGCTCATCAGCTTGTGGATCATTTAGCTTATGAAAAGGATTAGACAATGACAATGTTCCCCTAAAATCCGATTTCATATGAGAAATACTAAAATAAATCAATCGCTAATGTCAAAAAATGTCATCGATTTAGTGGTAAAATCAATATTTTTAAAATCGAGTTTGCGTAAAAACCTGAGCTGATACAGAAAAGCAGATGTCATTTTTGGATTCAGTGTTGCAAAGATGTCCTAAATCAGTTTAAAAACTCCTAGACACCTTCAAAAAAGTATTTTTTTGTAACCTAGTGTAATTAACTGGTTGAATTAAAGAAAGGTTTTCCATTTTAATTATGATGTCTCCATTCACTTACATTAAAAAATCTTCAACATTTGACTGATTTATTTAAAGATAAACCTCTTTAATTCAAAGACGTGCCAGCTCTTAAAAGTCAGACTTATCTACAGGTTAGGAGATGAACGTCTGACTGGCTTGACCCCACACATGATTTGTTCCAACAGTAACCGGACTGCTGCTCGGTAAGCTGTATTTTATTCAGCATTTAAAGTCATCAATCAAAAGACAAACGGCTGTAATGACAAAATTATTAATGGGTTCTAAAATTGGTTCTTATGTACTTTTGCTTTAAGGCCTAATCTAAATGTAAATTTAATCAATCATTAATGGCCTTTCAATAAAATTATCAGCATATTAGTTGAGTCAAATTAAACACTTTTTTATGACATTATTTCAGGGACACATGCTTCCAGGCTTTATATATATATACTAAAAAACCCAAAACAAACAAAATAAAAACACGGTGCTGTAGTTAACAGTGATGAGCAGGTATACCAGCAGGTCTTGAGTCCAGGTCACACTGTGTGCCGCCGACAGACACAGAGTGATGGAGATGAAGCGCAGCACTGACTTCCAGATCAAAGAGGCTCTGCATTTGGCCTCTGCTGGCATATTTGGGTCCTTGTGTTTCTATGAGGACAGTCAGTGGACAGGTGAGTGGCTGGCGGGGGGCTGGGGGCTACAGGTAGCACTACATAGACCTTAGTGCTGCTGGGAGGACTACGGGTCACCAGAGGAGCTTATCACTGTCATGGGAAAACTGATGTACGATCAGGACAGCAGAAACAATGGGACGTCTCTCATCAGGGTTTTTTAAATTAAAAAAAACTTGAGTGTTACAAAGACTGTATGAACCTAATCAGTCTGGTCTGTGTGTCCTAATAAGGGATCAACAATTAATGTGTAAACTCAGCAGAACCCCGTCTACATATCACGCTGGATCCGACCGCCTTTTGTTCATCCATTCCTATTTTTGTCTCCCGTAAATGATATTCAGCAATAATTCATTCCTCTCGGAGGTGCTTCTGTTAAAGCCACTTAAGAGACACAAATAGCGACGTTTAGGCAAAGTGTTTGTCGAGACACTTCTCCCCGAGTCTCTTAAAACATATTATGCCTCCAAATCCCTTCAGTCATCCCATCATCACGGCATAAAGCCACCGCCTTAAGAGGAAGATTAAATTTTAAGTTTGAATCAGGCGGCTTGTGGTCGAGCAGGAGCTGGTGAATCAGGCCGTTCGCTCTGCTGAGAGAGTCGCCTCCGAGTGTGGATGGAGGCCGCCATCGTTGATAGAAGTCACACACACACACACAAGCACACACACACACACTGACAATGACACATATAGTATGGTATGCTGATGTTAGTATATGTGAATATTAAATCTAAATTAGTAAAGATACGAATGCAGTTTTTTTAAGGTAAGTAAGTTGATGTTACTGTTGACTTTTGTGTTGACCAATAAGTTATCAGCCAACCCTTGAGGAGGGCTAACTGTTTTAACGTTGAGTGGTTCATCTCGTTCATCTAGTGATGTTACATTACTTAGCTTATTTTTTGTGTGTTGTATTGTTGTAAACCTTGTTGCTGCCCTCTTGGCCAGGGCTCCCTTGTAAAAGAGATGTCAATCTCAATGGGACTCACCTGGTTAAATAAAGGTTAAATAAAAATAAATAAAAATAAAATCTCAGTCATGCATATTTCAACACATTCCTTCTGGAGGTGTCATTGCTTAGAGTCAAATACACAACAGTAATGAACACATTTTAGGTCCACAACGTGCTGAATCCTTCCCTTTAAGGACAGGATTTCTGCTCAAATGCTAAAGAATAATTTAATAAACTGCTAAAAAAAAAAGAGAGAGAGATGCCTCCTACATAGTAGATAACAGATTCACAGAAGTGTGATGTGTTGACAGGCACACACAAGCAAGCAGACACACAGCGGACCGAAATCCTTCCCAAAAATATCATCCAACCACTTCCCCATCCACAAGACTGCAGCTAAAATCATATCCAGTGCAGGAAGGACTGGTGGGGAACACTGGATTACCTGCTGCCAAGGCAACCTCTCACCAACGCTCCCACTGCATCGGGTGACTTTTAGCTGTGCGACACCCCAAAATCACATAAGTATGGTAAGAATCTCTTTGTCGCATCGATACAGAGCTGTGACTTATCATGACCCAGCACGCCTCCTTTCACACACATGCAAACAAACAGAGAACCTCCCGTCCGCCTGCTTCTCCTGCAGATGACAGGCCGGCGTTCAGCACATGATCCCTCCCTATTTAGTGGCTGACTGCACAGAGCTGCTCAGAGACCTGGCAAGTCATAAAGATGCCAGCCAAACGCTTAGATTCCTAATCAGGTCATCAGTGGAGGCTTGTACGAGCTGATGGCTACAGACGCGCTGCTGTTTTCGTCGCTATGCTTCCTGTTGCAGCGCTGCCTCTGCGTTTCAGGCTCACGCTTGGAACAAGATACTTGTCAAACTGTAGGGTATATACTCCCAGACACCCTGTTAATGCAGATCCTGCGTGGCAACGGAAAACACGATTGGAGATGCAGATTTATACGTTGGCTGAATTGTTGTCCGAACGTCACAGAGCCAGGAGGGAAACTCAACACGACGTTCGGTTTCGACGCTCACGAAGATGTCAAAGTTTCTGCTTTTTGAAATCTGGGGCTGCAGAATGTTTAGGAAAAGGACAACCACATTTTGGAAAAAAAGAAACGAAGCCTTTAAAAGCGAATCACGGATGGCGACACAGTTGGAGCTGCACATGGTGCATCTGTACAATCATCCACCAAACACGGGGCAACGCAGGCAGCCAGGAATCCTTGTGACCTGACAAATGCATGTCTGATGTTTTGTCGGCTTTTAGCGGCGGTTCAGTTCCCGAATTCCTGAAAAAGATGTCTTTTTGTGTTACATAGACTCTTCCCTTCACTTGGGTCGACTCTCTAACAGTTCACTCAAAGCAGAAAGCCTGTCATCATGTGAGAGAGCTCATTTGCTGCCGCTGCGACTGCTGCCTGCACTAGAAACGCTAGAGGCAGTCAACCATACTGGCTGGTAAATCAGACAACGGACCGAAAGCAGCTAAATGTAAGGAACTGTACAGCTGTGTGTTCCATGTGATTAAAATCAATGTTCACGCCTGCAAATACGGCTTCATGTAAGTTCTAGTCTTTCGCGTAAACCTTCATTCAGTTCTGGGCGACCAAACTATGCACAGAGAGTTAAGAAAAATGGTGCAAAATTCCTTCTCTGGGCTTCTGTGTGAAATGAATTGCTGCGAGAATTTATTTTACACAAAACACCATTACTTCTCATCTCGCTGTTCTTTGGTCGGCAGGATGATAGAAGGTCTAATAACGGACAGAGGTGGCTAAGAGACTAAAACAAGAGATTTAGTGTGGTAGGAGAGAGAGGCTACAGAAAATAAGCATTACAAGGCTGAGAAGAAAAAAAAACAGAAGACAGAAGATGTTAGACAAAAACACACTTCACAAACCAGTCGGAGCAGCTGGCCTCGCTGTATGGAAGCAGATTTAGTTCTTTATATATTCTAAAATGGAAGGATGATTGTTTGTCTCCATTTCTTTTTCTTGCCACTAAAACCTTTGCTGTTGCTTTACGGGCTAAATTCAGCATCCCGGTAGCCTGGTAGGAGCTAAGCTTCCTCGTATGCATGTGTATGAACCTACGAAGAGCGGAGACAGTTTTATTTCCTACCACAACAAAAATAAATCTATGGATGCTTCTGTGTCAGTAACAGACATATAGGAAAAACAGAAATATATGAAAAGCAGTGAAAAACAGGAGCAAGCACAGCAAGGAGTTCAACTGAAGCTTCAGGTTTTGGAGGAGGAGCACGAGATGGGAGCGTTACCTGTCCTCCTTTGGGCTGATACTTGATGTTCTCCGTGGAGCCGATCTTGGACTTGACGTTCTTGAAGTCAGGCAGTGGCTGGTTGATGATGCGGAGCTGCTTGGGCGTGGTCGCGGGCGACTTGGGCGGGGTGCGGACCACCGCCACCTTCCTCTCCTGGGAAATCAAACTGAGGGAGCGTGGCGTCCCGGGGGTCCTCGAAGATGACGAGTAGCTGGGAGGGGTTCCTGGGGTGATGGCTGTGGAGCCCGGGGTGCGGGGGGTGGAGTGGCCACTGCGAGCCGAACGGGAACGCACCGATTCTGTAACTGGGGGGGAAAGGACACACGGGGTCAGGGTTGGAGCTGGAGGTGAAGAGGAACAGTAATCCCTGTTGTTGCATCAAACTATTCGAACAAGACCTGGATGTGTTGCATCACTATTTCAAGCGTCCAGTTGAAATTTACTCACATCCACCCGGTTTTCAAGCGGACATGTACAGAGTAATACAATCTATTGCAGCAGCCCTGTAGTAAAAACGCTTTTGTTGGAATGACAGAGGTTGTGAAAATCCCTTCTACCTGTCATACTAGGGGCTCGTCCTGTCCTATGCTCTGCCCTCATCTCAGTGCGAAACGCTGCAGAAAGGAAAAAAGATGAAAGCTTTAGGATTTAGTTGCAGGAAGACAAAAATGTGAGTTGCTAATAGCTTTTTTTGCCCTCTTCAGTGCAAATGCTTTCCATTCTGGAAGTGTACTCAAGCAAGTTATCTATCAAAGAAAGACACAGAGACGCTGAAAGAAAGAGAGAGAAAGAGGAAAAACACAAGCTTATCTGATTAGTACAGAATGGGTGAAGCCAGGTACAGTTAGCAAGCTGGTCAGCTAAATTAATATAAGATAAAAGAATTTACTGCACAGCTCTATTTAAGCAGCTGTGTACATCTCACAGCTGGAACTTCTCAAAATAACCATAATGAACCTACAGCAAAGCCCCAGGAGTGTTCCAGTACCTCCCAGCGTTTTAATTATTATATAGAGTACACAATTAATCAACATCAGTAAAGGTTTTTTTTTTTTTTAAGTGTTCAGTGTTGTTCTGTCTTATACTAGAAGCCAAGTGTTTGATGTATGTTTTAGTCCATCTAAAGCCAACTACATGCTGATACTGAGGATGTGCAGCCTACATGTAGGTCTGCGGGGCGCCGTGGAGCCAGAGCTAGTGATGGAGGTAGAACTCTCCTCGTGGTCGTGGTATGGACGGCGACTCAGGATGGAGGTGTGCCGCGGCAGAGAGGTCCTCTTGTCCGGGCTCCGTGAACCACCATCCTGTTGGAGAACATACAAAGAAGTAGATCCTCAGGCCAGCGAGGCAGACGTTGGCCTGTGATTTTATTTTGATAAAATCCAACAACAGACACAGGGTGGCAATATTATGGAAATAAAAGACATTTTTAAACCAATTATATTCACGAGTTTCTTTGTCCAGCAACCGCGCCACCCTGCCATCCACCTACCTTGGCTAGAAGCCTCTGTAACTGTGGCGAGCCTCGAGGCTCTGCTGAGGATGGACGAGGTCTATCTAATGAGACAGCCGCGCCGGATATGTAGGTGGGGATCTTTGTAAGTGGCAAACGATGGGAATGGCACTGAGATGGTACAACAAAGAGGCCCGGTGGGTGAGCGGCACGGCACCAAAATAAAGAGCACAGTGACAAAACAGCGGTAAAAAAAACAACAGTGATTTAAACATGCATAATCAGTACACAGGATCTCATGTCTGCCTGTTGGGATGACCAATTAAATACTAACACCAGATCTTGTGTGTTTTCCCAATTAATTAAAGCCAATTAAAACATCCATTCATGCACATTCTTTGCGGACATGATAATGAGAAACTAAAAATACTGCTCCCCATGCTCATGCAACAGCAACAGGTTACATGACGGAGCACAGCGACTGATGCATGAGAAGACACTTACAGTACGCTGTAAAGACATGACATTTAAGAAACGCAGAAACGGTGTTATTTTAGTCACAATAACTGTCATTACCATGGTGGAGGAGTAAAATGGAGTCACGACCACAGCCGCTGGAGAAATGTCACGGGGTGACGCAACACCCACTCAGTACAATAAACACTCCAAATGGATCTGTCTTCACTACTTGTGCAAAAACCCATTAAACGTGGCAACAAAAGGAAGCGTTTTGCAAAAAGCAAAAATGCAACCAACATTAGTGTTTTCTTTCCCATAAAGCACAAAGGAAAACCAGCAGATACGGCGCGCTTTCGTTAATGCGTAGTGCTTAGATGAGCAGACGGAGTTTGCTTAAACTGTGTGTAGTTTGAATAGAATATTATGCTGCTTATGTGCTGTTTATTATTTGAGTGTCTGTGCTACAGATACACAAGCCAGGTTGTGTACTGATGGATCCATATTAATAGCAAGAGGTAAAGGTTTCCAATCTGTCAAACCAAAAAGCAGAGAGACAGCATATCTAATTGAAGTTGGACTCTGCTGTTAGAAGAAAGTTTCAATTTGCTTTTCAGTGTCATTTCATCCTGATTGATGTTCATTTGCATCCAATTACCCATTCAGGCTGTTTGCCAGTAAAGCTTTCATTTGGCATTTCTCTGATTGGTTCCAGAGGTCACGCCGTCGTCGGGTTGGTTGAGTATACTCACCGACGCTCTGTCGCGAGACTGTCTGGCAACGCTGAGGGGCTGACGACTGTCTGGTAGGGCCTCTGAGGGACGGAGACAGAAACAGAGTTAAAGGCAAATCACAGCACTCAGGCAGAATACATGTGTCAACCTTCATACTCTGAAAGAGGAGGAGCGAGGGCCTCTGAGATTTGGACAATTATCGTCATAGCCATGTCCTTGTGAGGACGTGTGGTTATCATTACAGCAATGTAAAAATACAGACATCAAACTTTGTATTCCCAAAACTGGCTTGCTAAGCTATATGACAAATTCAGTGTTCTGTGGGAGCTGGTTGTTTCCCCCCTTGGGAGCTCTGTTCTGCAAAGATTTGGCAAGATATCACACAGAATGGGGGATTTTGTATTATGTAAGGCAACCCTGGAAAATAATCTAATTGGGGCAATGCAGCAGTATACTGAGCTTTCATCATCGGTGACACAGTATTCAGCTCGTCGGGGGAAAATGAAGTGCAAACTGCCTCTGGGACAGAGCAGCATTACAGAGTCTTTGTAGTATCACGTCCATAGAACAAAACCAAGGATTACCAGTTGCTAGGCAACCATAGGATGAGAAAACCTATGCAATTCGTAAGGAGGCCAAACAGGTCAGGATGGTTTATAGGTTGTTTTGGACTATAAAAACTGGCCTGCAGTTAATAGAAACATCCTCAAAAATACTATATAATCATGTGAAAAGAATCAGCAGCACAGTTGCTCACAAAGCACATAAAACAATTTACTAGAAATGGTACTGGCAAGGAACAAAGAATTCAAAGAGTAAATTAACATCAGCTGAAAGTCTTGTTTTTACCGGCCGTGCTGTAGTGATACGTGTTTATGCGAGCACGTGTCTGTATAAACACACTGTTAAACAGAGTGAACCGGTGGAAACACAAAGAGGAAATGTGCCGACAACAACAACAAAAGAAAAACAAAAAACACCCAAACAGCACAAAGAGAAACAAAAAGTTAAATGAAGTCAAATGAAACAATAATGAGTCAAATTTTTATTGTGATCAAATACAAAGAAACTCAAATGACAAAAAAAAAACAAAGAAACTAAATGAATGCTAAATGGAAGCTGACGTTGCCGGTAAGATGCAGCGTGGAACTGGTCCTGAGCACCAGGTGTTTGACAGACCAAGACAATGCGTCACCTGTGGGTCTCCTTCTGGGGCAGGAGTGGTGCTGGATGGGACGGGTCTGGCGGACTGCTGGTTTCATCGCGCTCCTCTTGATCGGGGACTGACTCTGAGTCTCCATTTTTTTGGTAAGCTCAGTCTTCCTTATCACGGCTACATTATCACAGGAAACAGGGTCGTTGGCAAAAGCAGAGGGATGCAAAGATATTCACTGAACTGCATCAAAAATGAAAAAAACTCCTCCAGAAATATTCCATAGCTGCATTTGTTGAAGTATTACAAAACCAGATGACTGATGTGTGAACATACCCACCTTCTCCCACATATACATGAATAGTGCCTGTAACCAAGTGCATAGTCCTTGAATGAGGCTGTGCAAATGTTCTATTGTTCTGTGTAGAATATGTCTAATTATGTAGTATTATGTTATTCTGGTGATTGTTGGAGTGTGATGCAAGACAAACTTCCATGTGTTATCATATCATAAATCACTGTCAGACTTTTGATACAAGCTGTACAACAGGCTGCTGTCTTCTCAGTAATTTTAGAAAAGCCACACATTTAAATTGTTTTGTAAAGAGGTAGGTGTGCGTTTATATTCGTTCTACTAGCAGCGGTGATAAATTATAACATAAATACACATTAAAACCTTTTTTCTTCTTGACGTCCTCTCTGGGGATGTAGACGGGTTCTTTGCGGAACGGTTTGCGTTCCGGTGTGGAGATCCGTCCTTTAGGCCGCCCTCCCTTGGTCTTGGGTTTAACAGGCTTTTCCTGTTTCTCCGTCTTCCGCTGTTGCGTCTGCTTGTTCTGGACCACAGCGGGCTTTCTGACTGGACTCGGCATCTTGGGCAAAGGCTCGATCTGCTCCGTTAACATGCTCTTATCGTCGTCTGCAACATGGCAAGACAGGGTATGAAAAAAAACAGCAGTTAGTTTGTGTATTTCAACCAGAGAATGATAAAAAGGAACACTTTAAAGCAATCAAACAGATCTCACCTTGTGTGTCAACCCAGGAGCTGTCCAGGATGGAGTCGTCCATTGTGGTTTCGTCCCGATCATAGCTTTCCGTTGGTTCTTCCGTTTCCACGGTCTGAGCCTCCCTCTCGGGCGAGGCAGGGGTTTCAGGAACATCTCCCACCTCCTCTAGACTGGCAGCCTCCATGTCTGCTTCCTGGGCCAGCTCAACAGACTCCTCCTCTTCCTCCTCCTCCTCCTCTTCTTCTTCTTCTTCTTCTTTCCGGGCAGCGACACAAATAGCTTCGGCCTCGGGTGGAGCTGAGAAGCGAACGCTGTGCCCCGGCTCGTCAGCTTCGTCGATGGTCTGGACCACAGTGATGAAATCGTCTTCAACCGTCACAACCGATTCGATGGCGGCACGAGTCTCCGGTATCTCCTTTGTCACCTCTGCCCCAGCTCCTGCTTTCTTTAGCGCGTCCTCCTCAACTTCCTCTTTCAGGTTTTCAGCCTCCGTCTCAGCAGGTTTGACGTCTTCTTTTTCTTCAGGCTTGTCTGCAACCTTTTGGGCCATCTCAGCCAATTTCTCGAGCTCTTCCTTCTCTTTCAGCTGCCTTTCAATCTCTTCTCTCTCTTCCTTCTCTCTCAACTCTCGCTCTATTCTTTCCTTCTCTTCTCTTTCTTTCCTTTCTCTCTCCTCTTGCTCCAGCCTTTCCCTTTCTTCTCTTTCTTTCCTCTCCTTCTCTTCTTTCTCCTGTCTTTCTCTCTCCTCTTTCTCTTTCTTCTCCTTCTCTTCCTTCTCTTTTAGCTCCCTTTCCTCTTTCTCTTTTTTCTCTTTCTCCTCCTTCTCTTTTCGCTCCTTCTCCTCTTTCTCTCGCTCCAGTCTCTCCTTCATCTCCTGCTCTTTTTGTTCTTTCTCCATCCTTTCTTTTTCTTCCTTCAATATCCTCTCTGCTTCTTCTTTTTCTCTTTCTTCCTTCTCTCTCCTTTCCTGCTCTTCCCTCTCTTTCATTTCCTTTTCTTTCTTTTCTGCCTCTTCCCTGACTTTCCTCTCTTCCTCTTCTTTCATTTTCTTCTCGGCTGCTTCCTTCTCTTGCTCTTCCCTCTTTTTTCTTTCTGCCTCCTCTCTGTCCTCTTTGTTTATTCCTAACACCGGTGATGGTGATCTTTTGGGCGAACCATACACTTCTCTTTGTTTCAGTTTGGAAGGCGAGAGCACCGGCGAGAGCAGCTTGTCGTCGTCGATGTTGCTCTCCACTGATGAAGCGGGTGAAGTTTTGACAGGCCTGGCAATTCGGTCTTTGGCGACGCCAGTCAGCTGGTACACGTCTTCTGCATCCACTTCCTCGTAGGCTTCCTGGTGCACCAGTTTCACCTTCTCCCGGAGCTCCTGCAGTTCTCGTTCCTCCTCCAAACTCAGAGGCCTGTCCTCCATCTCCAATTTGCGGATCTGCCTCTCGTAGTCAGCGATCTCGGTTTCTGACGCCGAGCCTTCGCCGCTGGCTTGTCGCTCGGTCTCACTCCCTGACCTTCCACCTTCTTCTAGAGTCACGGTGACAGTCGGCGTCACAAAGGTGTCACTCGGCTGAAATAGTGGCGTCTCACTCACAGCCTTAACAGGCTGATCGTCTACAACATCTTTGCTTTTTTCTTCAACAGAATCTTTTCTCTCTTCTTGTTTCTCGTCTTTCTCTTCGGCTTCATCAGCAGCTTCCGACGGATGGCTCTTGTCCTCCACAGACGTATCTCTGACGGCTAATTTCCTTGCCTGCTCTGCCACTTTCTCCTCCAGGACAGAGGGGGTGAAGATTTGTGCAGATGTGTCTGTAGGGCTGAACACATCTGCAGGGGATGGCATGGGCCCTGAATATTCACTGAACACACAATAGCCCATCTCTTCCAGTTGGCTATCGCTCTTTCTAGCTCCAGGACTCTGTTGCCCTGATATTAGACTAGCCAGTGGGTCATCAGCGAATGGAGGAATATCAGCTTGAATCGACTTCCTCCGGGTGATCTCAGGGTCAGTGTTTTCTGATGCCAGTCTGGAACGGGTACCAGCAAGGTCCAGCATCTCAGGTAAGTCTTGTGCCATCACTGTGCCGTTTTTATAGGTGCTCTTTGGGGGCTGCGGTGACTCTGGAGACTCTGGCTCGGGGCTGGATTTTGAAGGTGGTTCAGAGGTCCGCGGAGGAGACGAGGAATCTGATGTAACTGACGCTGCAGTCTCCAGGATCAGGGGTGGGAAAGATGGAGGTTTATCCGTAGAAGGGGTGGTAACTGGAAGGTAGTCTGCTGACTCGTCTAGACTTCCACTAGTGTAAGACATGATGTCTGTGGCTAGTGGGGAAAAGTTCCTCGGTCTGCCTTGCCCGCTCTGATCCATGGCTCCGATGGTGATGTTAAGTGAGTAGCTCCTCTGCTCTAAGGCGAGTTTTCCTGGAGAAAGTCTGCAGTCATTACTCCTGTCAGGAACTGTAAACATGCTAGTATCTTCTGCGGTACTTTTTTTAGTTTCAGGTTTATCCTGAGCTTCGGCTAATGTGCTGTAGCTGATATCCTGAGACGCGGACTCGACTGCAGTCTTCTGCTCACCGGCTCTGCTCAGTTCATAATAACCCTCACCCTTAGACTGGGGACCTTCATCAACCTCCATGGCTGATGTTTCAAAGTATGCTGACATGCCAGACCTGTCTCTTGCGTCTCTTGTTGAGTCTCCTCCTTGGACTTTGACTCCCATTGAAGAGAAATCGGAAGCAGCACCGATGCTGCTGAATTCCACCACCTCTACTGATGGCTGTTTCTCCGACACTGTGATTGGTTCACCGTATGTAGGCTGAAGTGTGAGTGACCTGACAGGTTCTTTGGCTTGGTTTTGAACATCTGGAGGTACAAAGGACGGCATATCCATGGTGGGGCTCTCTGGTACAACTCGTTCTCCAGCAAAGAACCCTTGCATCTGTGGCTCAAAAAACTCCTCGGGGCGTTTCTCCGATCCAATGCTGTCTGGGCTCATGGACCCACTGTCCTGCTTGTCTGAGTCCATCTTCAAAGCTGAAAGGATATCTGTAAGTTGTCTGTTTCGATCACCACAGAAAAATATTGCTTTAGCATGCTGCGAATGAGATATTTATTAAGCCAGGGACTGGGAAAGCTATCACAGAAACAGGCAAAGCTCTCCTCGGAAACTTACAGCACAATGATACGGCCATCGCTGAAGAAGTACGGCGAGATTATGCGGTCCACCACGTCACAGATGGATGAGAGTATGGGATGGTGTGTGACGGAAAACCGGCATGAGGCAACTGTGATGATGATTTATGGGAAACAAGCAGTAACAGATGGGCGGGATATCCATGCAAGTCTTCATAACATCGGCTACAGAAAGAAACAGCATTTCTGTCATTCTTTGGAAGAGCACTGAAATGTTTTGTGAATTTTACCAGTTAGCGGCCAAGTTTCAAACAGGTTCATTTAGATTAAATGAAGCTTAATGACGCTCAAATTTCATTAAGTCATTCAAAGAGCACAAATATAGAAGAACCTTGTTGCTGAATGACAGAGGAATGCCATATGTTTTCACCTGCTAAAGGTGACCAAACCAAAGAAAAACAGATGAGCTTGAATTTTGCCGATAAAGCAAAGCATTTGATGAGATATGCTTCATCTCACAGCTGCACCACACTGAACATGAGACAGCCAACGCAAAATCCCTGCAAACTCTGTACTCAGAATCATAATAATAAGTGCAATGCGTGTTCGGTACGTATGATTCATGAATACAAGTGTGTAGCACTGGCATACCGGCACCAAGCCATGTGTAAACATAATGGAAAAACCTGGAAGCTTATAGCCGGTTTATAAAACAAAAGCAAAAAAAGCACTGTTAGCATCACTTCACTTTGTCAATACGAAACGGCCGGCCCCGAAAACCACAGCAAGGAAATGAAAATACAAGCCAAGATAACACACAATAAAACCAAGTCAAGTTAAAACAATGTGGCTCTTTTCACCAACAAGCCTGTGTTGCCTTGCAGCCACAGCAGAGCGCAGGGAGGATCACTTGCCATTCCGTTTGAATTAAAATGCTTATGTTGTACGCTTCCTTGCGTTCTTATACAGTGGACAATGCAGTAACATGCAGGCAGGGAGAGCAGAGGGCAGGACACACCTGTCTCAGGGCTCTCCTCACCCTCTGCTTCCTCCTCCTCCTCTCTGTCCATAGAGCTGTCTGCGGCAGCACTAGCTGCCTCGGCCGGCTCCAGGTCTAGATCCTGGGCCTCGTCTACGGCCTCTGCCTGCTCTAAGGGCTCAGCATGGGGGCTGTCCAGCTCGGGCTCGTCCCCACTCCACTGCTGCTCATCAAGAGCTGCCTCGGATTCTGCTGCCTCTGCACTCTCCTCCTCCTCCTCTTCCACCTCCTCCTCCTCCTCCTCCTCATCCTCCTCCTCCTCGTATTCAGCTGTAAGAGCCTCCATGGTCTCTTCTTCTCAAAAACAGGGTGAAAGGGGGACACATTAAGACTACAGGCAACACAGACTTGGGTTATGTGAGAACACAACTTGGGATGGGACACTTTCAGCTCTGGGAAAAGATGATCTAAAGTGTTTGTTCACACATATAAGGCACATTACACATACAGGACTGAGTGTCGATACGGGATTTTCTTTTCATTTAGAGTGTTTACCAATCATACATTTCTACTGTCGGGGCTTAATGCACCCAGTGTGTAAGCAAACTATAAAGACGTACTGGTTAAAGGCATGCGTAGGATTATTTTCCACTTATAATTATTATAACTATGGCATTAAAAATACCTAAAAATGGTTATATTAGAAAATAAAACTTAAAAATATAACCATTTCCACCTCTCTCTTTCTCTTGCACACAACACACCAGAAACCTGCTATCACTGAAGACTGGTTAAAGGAAATGAATCAAAACTTTGTGGTCTAACATGGCGCTACTGTAGAGGCACTTCTTTTAAATGCCCCGAGTCTTTAGAAAGGGTCACTATGAAGAGCTTACAGTACAGTAAAATAAAACAAGTGCCTCTGATTCCTGACACTGCATGAGCTGGGTTTTTAACTGTGTAATGGTCGACGTGGGGGTGTACAGCTTTTATCAATACAGACATTTAAACTTATAACAAGAAATGATTCACCGGTGGGTTATGCTGTGAACTCAATCCTTTTTCAATTTAAACATCATATTGATTTATGAAAAACTGGACCAGGCCTATACTGTCAGTCAGTGAGGAATGAGGTGATTTTATCAACTGTGGAGCAACTTAAGGGGGAGAAAAATTACACGTTAAGGGGTTTAAAAGCATAGCTAACGCCATTTAGAAAGATTTTCTCAGCTCCATCAATAATAATAATCGAGTTCATCTAACTTAAACATGCCGCTGCAGTGGATTATAAGGAGAGCAAAGCTGTGACAGTGTACAGCAAGCTTTGGGAGGAGATATAAATGAAGTTATTTTCTGTGGCTGAAGCTGCCCTGGCAAAGAATTTATTTTGATTGTAATGGACTGAGAGTTTCACATCACGTGGAGGATCAAGTTGTGTGTTTTTGAATAGCCTAAAGGGTAAAACCAAGGAGGTCCAAGGTTCTGTCAGACAATTTGGACAACTAATTTTTGAAAAGGAACATTCTGTATATCGGATTTCTGAACACAATACGAGCATTTGTTGGATGGTTGTATACAGGCCAAGGGCAACACAGGAATGGGAATAGTGGAGCAAAGTTAGAAGGTCCTCAAAACAGGGAGGACTCTCACCATGGCTAGAATTAAATCCTTGGTTTTATCTGTAATTTTAAAGTTTTACATTACTATAAGTAAACTATTACCACAGTTTGAATAAATAGCTTGACATACTGCTTTTTGTATTTAATATATTTTTTAGAACTTATGAGCCATTAAAACCCTGTACTGTGCGAATGCTGAGGAGTTTAGATGATCTTCGAAGAAAAAAAAAGTCAAATTATTAAAAGAAAATAGAACTCAAATGGGGAAATGTCTCAAAGTTTCAGCGTCTATTCTTCAAATGGTTCAAAACTGGCATGTGTCAAGGCTAGCTGGCTAATATTTTAGTAGTTAGCTTGCAGAAGGACGTCAGTCTGAGTCACAAAGAGTAAATCCGCTAGAGATCTATCACGACCGTCTCCTCACGATACTGAGGGCGTCAAGCTGAGCTATAATAAATCCAGAGTTCTTATCTGTGTTGTACATCCATAGATTGGGCTTCTAGGCTTCCTGGGTTGTAGTTTTATCATTATCCTTTCTCACTGAAGGGGGCAGACCAAGATCTACTTTTATCTTTAAAAAAATTCTGAAAACTGTGATGGAAGTAATGTTCTAAAACGCCACAGTAAAAGCGTCACACAGTAATTATGTAATGCTCTAAAGGGAGACTTTAGGTTGTGTGTATATTCTTAAATAAATCTGAAAACTTAACTATGACCCTAAATAACCCCCGCAGGTGGAAGGACTTGTTGAGTCACACAGGCACTGACAGTGGATGAGTATTAAAAAGTCACTGAGACTGCATAGGAACGAGGCCCAGGTTTTTAGAACAAGTGATGTGTCGGAGCTGAAAGTCTTCCTTGTTGCCACAGTGAGAGTGTAAGAGTAGGTACGAATGAGTGCAGAGGGTCTGACATAGTACAGCATGGTTAAAGGAATGAGTCGTCTCGAGGAATGAACCAAAATACAACTCTGGGAGATGACTGGCGTAGAGAGGTTTCTGTGCATAGAGGTCATGCACAGTGTCTCTGAGACATTTATGAAAGCCATGGACCTCAGGTCACGTCTCTAAAGTCAACCTTGCGGGCCATGTGCTCTTCCTGATGACAATGTCCACTGAGTGAATCACAGAAACGTCGTATTTTAGAGACATCACTGCTATGTATTGAGTCAACGGCATGGCAACCACAGGTAGCAATGGCTTCATGTAAAACAAACCAAAAAGAAAAACGAAATATGACCGTTAAATAAATATGTTGTCAAATTTTGAGTGAACAAACATTACAGAGACACACAAACGCACACAAAGACAGACGAAGAGACGAAGAGACGGACTGACGGACGGAGAAACGGATAGACGAAAGAAGGGAGGGATGGAAGGAGGAGGAGGTCAAATCACAGAGGGAGAGAAAAGAAAAAGAGAGGAGATGGAAGGGGGGGAAATGGCAAAGAGGAACCATGCGTGGTTCACCTTCAATCTGTCTAAAGGCCACGGCCTGCCCTGTGGGGCGAGAGCCCGAGTGCGTCCACTCTGGGCTGAACAATGGGTGCTCATAGTACTCCTCGTCGGAGTGGTAGGGGTCGTCCTCGGGCACGGAAACTGAGATGGAGGGGGCGAGGAACTTGCACCTCTCCCGAGAATTTTGGAAGCGGCGGAGAGGGCCCGCCTCCTCCTCATCCCCTACATCTACAAACAAGACAGACACAAGGAGAAGAACTGCAGGGAAATCCGGACACAGACTGAAAGAGAGAGCGTGAGGAAGAGGGAAGAAGAAAGGAAAAGAACGGTTTTAAAAAAAGTCATAAAAATGGAGGACACACCAAAGAATGGCCATCTTAAAGGTGATTTAGCATCCAAAGTAGTCTTCAAATGTAGTTTTGATTCTTTTTGATTTTGCGATCTTGTTCCAAAACGATACAAAACATCTGCTTTTTTTTTCCTTATTGAGTTTTTGATTTCTTTAAACTCAAAATTTAAATATTTCACAGTTTACAAAAGTGATTCATCCCCAGTCAAAGTGCACCATGTATGTATATGACTTGTACATCAAGGGGTTTCTTCCTTTTTTGCCATTCAAGGCTGAATTAAACTGTACAGAAAATAGAAAATTAAAGCAGAAAGTGTCAAGTGCCCTGGAAGGATAGTATCTTAACCCATAAATATTTCAGGAGGATCGCTGGAATAATTTATGATCATTTTCTCTTTTATGGTTTGGCTCCCCAGTTGTAAATTATAGACACTAGATTGAACTGAAGATCATTCTAGATCAATAATCCAAACGGGGCCAGCTGTGGTGCTTCAAGTTTTTAGGCAATAATAAGTGATTAGCCTCAGATTAAGTTTTCTTTTTTAAGATGGACATTTTTTGCAGTGGAAAAAAAGGGGTCAGGGCTCGAGGAGAAACTCAAAAAAAAAACTAGACAAATTTGAACAGCAAACAAAAACAGAAAAAGAGTCACCAGAGAGGGGAATGCAAGAAGGAAGACAAAAAGCTTATTTGAGAGCGAGAGAGACACAACGCACACGGGACAATGACAAGAACGAGACGGTGACGAGCAACTCAAAGGTAAGAAAGCTTTGGGGGCCAGCCACACTCTGACACCAGCAGAGTCAGCGGAGTGCAGAATTTAAGAAAGATTTTGGTTTCAAGTAGGAATAATAAAAGCTAAATCAAAGACACACGACATTTAAAGTAAACAATTACAGCAACAGGTAAAATACTTGTGTAGCAGCACTTGTGTGTGTTTTTTGCCGGCCAATGACACCATTTGGTCGCCATTTTGGAACTAAACATTACCCCAACTTCCCTCCACGTAGCTCTAAAGGTGACTAAGCCTTCCAGAAACTACTGACAAACAAATACAACAACAGCCCAGATAACTACACCACCACCACTGTTCAGCCACTGCTTAAAATTTATCAATTGAAGACAAATAACCACCCAGGAAAAATGATTGGAGGAGAAATTACGCTTTACATTTTAGCTCTAAAATGTCTAAATGAGGTATTTTAAGTTATTTATGGCGTTCATAATCTTCCAACATAGGAATGTAAGTTAACACACTACGCATCTAGATTGCATTGCATTTGCCAATTTTAATTGTCCTTTGTTTGCTATGTGTTATGGTTATAAAGCTAGAAGTTCAGAGCCACAGCCAAATAAAAACAAACAGCAGACGATGACCAGAAAACACAACACCATGATCACACATGCAAAACTTAAGACAACTAAAAAAAAAAAAAAGACAAACAACAAGAAGTCGGAGGGTTACCTAAAACTGGCTGTCATATTAGTGTGTTGGAAGACAGCGAGATGCGGAGGTTAGAGAGTGGAATGGCAGAAGAGGATGACAAAAAGAGTGCACTTGGTATAACATCATGCGTGTGAGTGCGTCTTTCTTCTGAGGTAGATGGGCGATGGCGATGGAGGTGCTAATCTGTTCCGGGCGTACGATGAGGACGAGGTAGTAGGATTTCAGAGGAAAGATGACAGAAAAAAGGTGAACATGTTCCTGCTTTTAGCAACTCTGGTAGGTTTCTCAAACTGCTATCGATATGTGGTTTGTCGCCCCCCCTGGAGGCGGGGCGTGTCCTGAGATGGGGAGTGCGCTCAGTGCTGACACACACCAGCAGCAGCACCCCAATGTGCTGTCGAATACAAAACTCCTAACGTGAGGAGAGAGAAGGAAACCACACTCTCGTCCTCGACAGACACACTCTTGTTTGCGCACTGCTCTGGGCCTACCTTGTTCCAGAGGACCAAAGTGTTCTGCAGCAGGTGAAGGGGGAGGAGAGGGAGGCAAATTGGTGGTGTCTTCAACTACAAAAGAGAGACAGAGGAGTACAGCTATATAAATCACACAATGTACAGGACAGCAAGCATCTGCTGACATTTATGAGGGCTGGCACTGGAAGGAAAATCTGCAGTTTAACTGTAATGTTTGTGTGCTTTAACATGAAAACATCAGGAACAGCAAAATGAGTAGTTTTTAGGAAATAAACATGTTTTTGATGAGAGTGAGACGAGAATATCAACGCTGGTGTTGCTGGTAAATACAGTTGAAACCAGAAGTTTACATCCACTCCATAAAAAGACACATAACCTTTTTTTTTTTTTTATTTGCTAAATGTCAGAACAGTCCATCCATCCAGAACATGTAAATTCCACGCAGAAAGATCCCGAGTGTCCTCACCGGGATGCAAACCGGTGACCTTTTGCTGTGAGGCAACGGTGCAGCCCATCAGAATAATAAGAGAGAGAATTTTTTTTTACTTCCTTCAAACTGTTTGGCCTTAATGACCATCGTTACATTTGGAGGAAAAAGGGGTAAGCTTGAAGCCTGAGAACACCATCCCAACTGTGAAGCACGGGGGTGGCAGCATCATGTTGTGGGGGTGTTCTGCTGCAGGAGGGACTGGTGCACTTCATAAAATAGATGGCATCATGAGGAGAGAAGATTATGTGGAAATATTGAACATCTCGAGACATCAGCCAGGAAGTTAAAACTTGGGCGCTAATGGGTCTTCAGATGGACAATGACCCTAAACATAGCACCAGATTAGCTATAAAGAGGCTTCAGGACAACAAAGTCAATGTTTTGGAGTGGCCATCACAAAGCCCTGATCTCAGTCCTGGAGAACATTTGTGGGCAAGGAGAACAACAAACCTGACTCAATTCCACCAGTTCTGTCAGGAGGAATGGGCCAGAATTCATCAAACTATTGTGAGAAGCTTGTGGAAGGAAACCCAAAAAGTTTGACCCAAGTCATACAGTTTAAAGGCAACGCTGCCAAATACCAAGGAGATGTATGTGAACTTCTGACTTTGAAGAAAGTAATAAAGAATTCTCTCTCTCATTATTCTGGCGTTTAGCAAATAGAAAGAATTCTGGTAATCCTAACTGACTTAAAATAGGAAAAGTCTGATTTATGTCACATAGTGAGAGAAAAAAAGTTGTGTCTTTTTATACAGTGGATGTTCTGGTTTCAACTGTACATAAGCATTGGCGGCTATTATTACCATTCAGTTCTTACACATGTAAATATGCTTCATTAAACATTAAAAATCCCCCCAAAAGATGATGTAATTAATTAATTATGTAAAACATTGCTGTATTTTTTAGATGGCTGGGGTTTTTTTCTACTATTACAACTTTCAACAGCATGATTTTAACTCGTTCTCTCAGCACCAACCTTGAACCCAGTCACATGTTGAGTCCGGCTTCACAGTAATATTGTGTCTTCTCAGTCTCAGCTGTACTTTGCCTTCTGAGGATCAGTGTTTACTCTGTAAATATGCCGTCTTATGATAAAGTAATGAAAAACTTTTTGTGTGTGTGATGTCGTGAGACTGACTCCTAACCATCACGCGAGCTGCACTTGGACAGCAGAATGTTTGGCCCTGTTGGAGATACAACTTCCTCCATGGCGACTACGGTGCAGCAACGGTAGGATACAGATGTGATGATGTGTGAGTCTCACCTGATGGCAGCCTTTGAGTTTCCTGTTCTCCCTTCAGTACCGCCACCGCCTCTGCCGTCACTTCCTGTACGATGCGCGCCGACACTTGTTCTGAGCAGACACGGGGACACAAACACAGGAGATCAATGCCATGTCTTAAATTGGACACGTTTAAGGAAATCATGTGGTTTAAAACTGTAGACTGGCTGTAATGAAGGTGAACAGACTCCTCAGAGGAGCTTGCCAGGTGTTGCTGAAAGATAGCATGACGGTCCATCCACAGGATATACTGATGTTAAAATTAAAAATAAAAAAAATCAGTATAATCCTCCACTCATTTCATTTTACTCTATTTTGTGAATGATGTCACTCACAATCCCAGATGAAAGCTCGCGCGAGTGGGCTGGAATTGTTTTTTATAACTGCGGCGATACAAAGGCTGCCGGTAAAGGCTGTGAGTGTCACCATAGAAACCCACCGTCCTTATAAAGTGCAAGCTAAAAACGAGATTAAAGGCACATAATTTCCTAAAATGAGTTCAATTTTGCCCTATTTTCATCATACCGGATGAAATGAGCCATTTCATTTGCGATGGCCTACAGTCTTTATTATTTCTAAAACTGCTGGGTTTAGAAAAAAAAAGGATGTTGAACTGGCAAGTGTGAGGTAAGATTTAATTAGATTTTCTTTTTCTTTAGTCCAACAGGAACAGTAGAGATATAGACAGGTTTTCTTTTTTTACCTGATGTATCTTTAGAATCAGTTTAAACATGTAAAGCTGAAATATTATACTTATATTACAACTTTAAGTATAGTGGAGTGTTTTTTGGTTTGTTTTATTCAACGATCTCTAAGAATTATATATTGCGTAAAACTAAAACTGATGTTAAAATTGATTGTACTCACTTTTATCACAAAAAATTTTTTAAAATCGTAATTAATTTAATAATTGTAATTGGCAAATTTCACATTCACAAATGTCGATTTATTGGCAAATGTAAAACCAGATTTTGTTAAATTATCTGTTGACTTTGAAGAACATATTAAAACATTAAATAAAAATAAAACAAAAAAGGAAAAAAAATGTTAAAATATTTAAAGAACTGTTCCAAAAAGAACAATGATGCCCCTCCTCCTGTCCCCTTTATGTGTGTGTTTTTAAGCATTTTTTTTTTTTGTAAATTATTTTAAAATACATTTATCATTATGAGCACACGTCTGTCATATTGTTTATTTGTACAATTCTCTGTGTGCACATTCATTGTTAAATAAAGGTTTGTTTAAAAAAACCCCAAAAAAACCAACTCATATCTTTGATACACAGGGAGAAGTTTTTAGATGTTTAATCGATGATCGACCAGAGACTTTAACCCTATTCAGGACTTTTGGGGTCTTTTGGACTCCAGGCCATTTGGTTTAGGTGACAGGTATTGTTTTTTTATTTGTGAAGATTTTTTTTTTTTTTAAATATTAAAAGAGGGGCATTTGTCCTGCATTTGAAACCAAAAATACATCAACTTATCAGAAAATCTATTCAACACAGTGTCTGTGAAGATTCTCAGTCATCCAGGTCCTGGTTATTCTGGTAGTTTAATCGTAGCAACTGGACTTGCTTGAGTTCCTTGAAGACGTTTCATCTCTCTAGTTCTATTAATCTAATCTAATATCACATCCAAGAGGCTTCATCAGTTCTGACTGACTAGTTGGGAGTTCCAGATATCCTTAAGGAGCCACTAACACCTGAGTTTCAGTTTTAATTGGGGGCTTGTTGCTCCTCCCCCTCGTTATGTGGGTCATTAGTGCTCCACCCTGCCACAATGGGGTCCGTTAGGGTCTTTTGTAGTTTGGTGTGAATGTAGTTTTATCTTCCTGGGGAGAGTTCTTAGGACTGAATAGTAAACAGGTGAGAGATGATGCCTCAGACCTCCACCTCTGTTGAGGGATGGTCTTTCCAGTTGGACATAGACGGCTTCTTTCACCCCTCGCTCAAACCATCTGTCCTCCCTGCAGGCCAACATCTGTCTTCCAATGAGTGTCCTTTGTCCTTGAGATGCAGGTGGACTGCCGAGTCCTGTCCTGAGGAGCTGCTCTTCTGTGCTGAGCCAGTTGTTTAGTCTACAGGTCTGAGCATTCCTCGCTGCACTGGACTGCGAACACCACGTTGCTTTGTTTATGTCTTGGTGTCTTTATACCAACTAATATTTTGCACATATTCTTTCTTGGGGACCCAGAAAGATCTTCTACATATGGTAACATGAAAGTCCTGGATAGCGTGAACGTCCTCTGGAGGCGACTGAATTCAGTTTGCACATAGTTAACACACATAAACATCAATGCCGATTTTCTTTGCAAGAAAACTGCAGTAATATTAGATTTTCACTTTTCCTGACAATACCAACATTTAGCGAGAGGCTGTCAACACTCTGTGGCTGTGTAACACTGGTGGGCAGCAGGTGCTAACGAGTACAGCACAACTGGAAAAGACTACAGCGGAACCGACCGAGAGCAAGAACAGTTAAAGAAAGAAGTAAATACGTAACAATAATGTAGTTGTTTTAATGTAAAAAATGGGATTTTTTTTCATTAGTTTTGTCCAAATTAGAATCCAAATAAGGGCAGTTTACTGTTTGTCTGCCTGTGATTTGGTTCAAATCGTGCCTGGTTGTGCTTGAAGGCTGCAGAGTCCTAATCAAAGCCTTCATTTGCATAGTAACAGTGGTTATGTGGGACTGGGTGGCAGTGCCATGCTTTTTTACTGCTGCTGCTGTTTCAGGACCTTTTTTTTTTATCCAACATCACCCACACATCAACACAAACAAGCTGGCAGGCGCACACACACATCCACACACACACACACTTCTTCCGGGAACACTTAACACAACCCACTCACCAACTCAAAGCAGCCATTTCCCATTTTCAATAGCAAAGTGCAATAAATGTGTACCACCTATTCAGTGCTTCCAGGCAAAAATCCTTTTCTTCTCACACTGAAAAACAAGAGGCAAGGCGTCGACGTCAGACCCGCTCGGCGGTTGTAACGTCTGACAACAACCCCTCGAGCAAACACTTGGGGTAAAACAACGCTGCGGATTTCTGTGAATGGTTCTGAGTGAGACAACAAATTCAGTGTGTTTGAGATTTGTTGATTATTTCCATGTTTTTTTGGAGGAGTTTAAAATACCAGAATGACATATTTTTTTTGAATAAAATCACAACGAGCACGAGGTTTGTTGATGGAGTCACGTGCATTACAAACTTTAAATCTTTACCTTGTCGGAAGGAAGATGGATTTTGGTGCAACTAAAGCAGAATTATTAATCTACCCAAACAGCCTATCAGGGGGTTCATCGGTAACCCTACGCACTTTTCCGATGCTGGATTGGCCGGCTGTACAGAGGATGCTTTATAGCTCTCCATCTGTGGCACTTCTCTTGTGAACAACCCAAACTATCAGCTTGTTCTTGCAGAAACTGTCTGAAATTTGCACATTTCCAGTTAAAAACTGGGATTAAAACAATGCAACTTTTTCTGACTCATTATATTTTATAGACCCTTTAGTTCTGGCTTTTCTGAGGTTACAAACAACCCAACATCTCAGTCCATCCTCCAGACAGTATTCTTCTCACTATATCCTTGATTTCTTTCTCAGGTTCGAGGTATAGGCGACACGGAGGAAATGCTGGCTTTGCTTTTTTTGTTATTGCATAAGACATGATGTGTAATCAAGCGTAAAATTGACAAAAGTCCATGAAGTCTTAAAGTCTGTTGAGATAACGAATGAAATATAAAAGAAAAAAGAAAAAAGCTAGACTACTCCAGCCGTATTCTAAAGACTGGCTTTATGTATAAGCCCTTCGAGGGTACAATGAAGAAAAAGAACGACCATAAATGCATCTCTTTCAAACACACACTTAACGCCGTGTTGATGTCGAGGGCAGCGGGTTCACAGACAAATCATGGATTTCTAGTCTTACAAACAAATCTATCGACATGCACGTTCACAAAGCAGCAGCAGCGGCACCGTAAAAAGAAAACGACCTTGTCACATGCACGGAGCCGGCTGGCTGGCAGTGATGAAAACTAGCTTTGTTTGGCTGTCTCAGCATCCCTCTGACAAAGTGATGTCAAATGACACAGCAGCCTGCCCGTTGTTGCCACTGACAGCAGAACAAACCGCATCCACCGAAACTTGCTTTGATTTACAGAAAGGCTGCGTTGCATCTCTTTGCCTACGTCGATACCAGACGCACCCGCACAGACACACGCTCTCGGTAAATTAAAAAGTGTGTATTACCTGCGTGACAGGCTGGCTGAAGCCGAGGACGCTCCCTCTCTGAGCAGAGACTACGACTGGAAGCCTCGAGTCAATGCACAGCACAGCCAGACTGCCACACACACACACACACACACACACACACACACACACACACACAGCGGGACTGAGAGGGCACAGAGAGAGCAGGAGTGGTGTTCGGTTTGATACCAGTGGCACCCAAAATGTGTAACGCGAAGGGGTTACCATGGCAACAGACTGGTGGGCCACTGACTCGGGTCCATATGTAATTCAGATGCGAGCGACATGTCACGGCTGTTTCAGCCTCTGTGTCTGCGGCCGCCATTAAAAAGGAAACGATGGCCGGGATGCTTCTCAGATGCATCACATGAATCTGAGGACATTTTCAGAACATTAAACATTCAATATTCTGCGTTTCTTTTTTTCTAATACATCACATTAAAGCATGAAATGAGTGGAAGACAATATTTATTGCGATAAGGACCACTTGTTTTGTTTTGGTAGATTTCAAAACAATAATCGAATATGACCTGTTGCACAGAGTGTCACAAAAAGAAGAAATGTCACGTATGTTAGAATATCATCCAGAAGTGAGCCGCATCTATTTATGGTGTCTTATCATTATATCATGTTGCATGACTGTTGTTTTTCTTCTTTTTTTAAATAAAAATTTGCAACACAAATAAAGTCTGATTGAGTGATTTAGTGTCCTGCAATAGACTGCCTTCACCCGAAGGGACAGACTCCAGCCCCTGGAAACCCTCCAGAGGATAAAGCGGTGTATATAATAATAGATATCTTTATCTCACAATCACCA